CCCCTTTGGAAGATGAAAACTGCACTGACTTCCAGCCGTGAGAAGAATAAGTATGCGAATGACTGAGGCGAAATTCCCTTTTTTAAGGGATTTAAAGGGTTAGTCCCGGTAAACCTTCCACCTGATCCAGGATGTCGTTAGCGTTACGTTTAGGGCTTGTGGTTTAGGGTTTTTAATTTAGTTTAATTCAGGGTTCAGGGCTTAGGGGTTCCGCTTGCGCCCACGTTCGACAACTCTCTAGGATCGAGGTGCAAAGTCAGGGGTTCTGGCTTTACTGAGGACGCCTGTGAGCGTTAGAAGAAGCGGGGTGGCTATTACTTTCTCAGTGCGGTTATCTGGGCACCAAACCCCTAAACAGGAGGAAGACAAGCATGTTTGGGGGTCCTAGTTTTTGGGTGAGCCCTATGCTCCATGCACTGCCGTGCGAGATGTGGTGCGGCGTGCCTATTGTCGGAATTCTTTTACCACCTCCCCAGCCAATCTGTGAATTCGGGCTTGCAATATGTGAATTCAGAGACATAGCGCCACGCCACGAAAAGCCCCGATGGCTTGAAGAAGTGTAGGTCAAGATGTCGACTTCTAAGCTTCGCAGATGCAAAGGTGGCGTTGTGGCGGCTATGTGTTTTCCGTTGGTCATATCTAGGCTACAACTCGCAAAACCGATGTATAAGCAAGTGACGTGTCCACTATGTTTTTTGTAGGACTTGTGTGCGCCTAGCAGTCACCTACATCCACCTACGCCTTCGACGGCAGCATGTTTGAAGCCTTAAGAGTTTTCAACAGGCTCGAAGTCTGATAACGCTTGCAACTTTATGATGCAAGCGCCGCAGCAATGAACGTGGGCGTGTCCGCGGCGTGTCCGCCGCCCTCTCGGGGTGCGATAAGAGCCGCAGTGTGGAATGCTTAACTATAGTTCATTGTTGGGATGATATTGAAAATGTAAACTCTTTTTTCCTTATCGGGTTTAAGTACCCTTAAAAATGTGGAATGTTACCCAACTACATATGACAAAGATAACTTAGACTCCTCATATGCAAAAGACACGTAACTGCAGCACACAAAGCGAGGCAAGGAAAGAGAGACAATGCCAACCATGCAGCTATGTCTTTCCGCATTCCAGGATTCCAGGGTTCTCTTCGCTGTCTCAAAAAGTATGCCACTTTTAGGGTTTAGGCGGTTTAGGGTTTGCAGGGTTTAGGGTTTAGGGTTTAGGGTTTAGGGTTTAGGGTTTAGGGTTTAGGGTTTAGGGTTTAGGGTTTAGGGTTTAAAGTTTAGGGTTTAAAGTTTAGGGTTTAGGGTTTAGGGTTGGGGTTAGGGTTTCGGGTTGGACTTTACCTATCGCTTCCGAAACCCACTGCTCTAAGTCCACCGGGCGTCAAATATCTCGACCTTGCTTGTCTTGGTTTAGGGTTTAGGGTTTAGGGTTTAGGGTTTAGGGTTTGGGGTTTGGGGTTTAGGGTTTAGGGTTTAGGGTTTAGGGTTTAGGGTTTAGGGTTTATAGGGTTTATAGGGTTTAGGGTTTAGGGGCTTAGGGGTTTCGGGGCTTAGGGTTTAGGGGTTTATAGGGGTTTAGGGGTTTAAGGGTTGCAAATCAACAGGCCCTCTAGGTATCACAAAACCATTATTTTCCTCTTGCTCTCCAACGTAATATGAAAGCCGCAGTTTTTTTTGCAGTACCTTTCAATAGGAGATACTGTGAACTTTTATAAATACAAAGAAAGGCCTTTCGCTCCTCTTGTCGTGCTGGGCTTTCATGTGGAGTTGAAAAGAAAACTGGTATTCCCTCCGCTTGAATAATGGAGGAGGTCTATGTCCTCGATCTGTTCATTCGCAAAACTCCTCTTCCCTTACCTATTCTAGCACAAGGAACCTTCTATCTATGGTATCGGTTTGTTCTCCAAGGTGTCCGAGAGCAAGCTCAAGTTTTGACACGTCAAACGTCTACTGCCCATTTTTGACCACCCCCTCCTCCCGCTACCGCGAAGCAGAAAAGCATGAGGGGGTGGGTTGGAGCGGGTTCCAAGACTCACAGTTCAGAAAAGTCCAAAAGGCACATTTGCGTTTTCTAGTTTAGGGTTAAGGGCTCAACCCTCCTCCCTTAGACTCAACCCTGCCCCGGTGCCCCAAAACTTCCCGACAAAAAACCCCAAGACCAAACCCCCAAATATTTGAAACTGTTTCTCCCAACCTGCACTTCTAGATTAGGGGTTTAAAAATGGGGGAAGGCTTTCATCCACAAGGTATTTACGCTGGCCCCTTGCGCGTTTGATCCTCCATCCTAAATGAACCCGTGATTCTTTCGATTGAACCTCCAAGTCCTCCATCACATTATTAGAAACCTTGATTGCTTGGGGTGAGGAGTGTGCACTTTCCTTGTAGTGTATCAGCCAAACCTCTGCTCGACGCGACCAATCGGAAACTATTGTTTCCTCTGGATTAGGATTCAAGCTCTTGGAGAACCGTGATGTCCTCTATGTCCTCGAAATTCCAATATGAAACAGCCAACTATACTCTCGAATGTAGATAACAGGAAACCTTCCTCATTTTCACAAGATTCAACTAGGGTATTGTAACTTCAGGCCAGGCTGTAGTTGAAACGTCTACAAAAAAGGAGATGCAACCACACCCGCCGGAGGTTTCGGGGCCGCGCCAACACCTTCCATGCGCCAGCCGCGACATCTTCGGAACCAGTCTCGCTGACACATTGCACGCTGAATGCTGTTAGCCCTACTTGAATGCAGATGTGCAGCTGCCGCGGACTCTGTCTTCCCCAAAGGTAAGAACAGAAGACTTGCCGGCTGCTCGAACATGATTGGGGCGTAGGGAATATGTTCAGCCCGAGGAAATAGCCAAGGATCGACTAAGTAGTGCGCTTGAACACGTGGGCCAGTCGACGGTGTGGAATGCTGGATTAAACGGTAATTTAGTAATTGGCTCTAGATTTAAACCCGAAACCCTAAACCCTAAACCCTAAACCCGGCCTTCAGGACGGACTGAAAGCAGCGACAATTGTTGAGCCAATTGCCCGGGTACAAACAGGTTCCAGGTACTGTCGTCGGGGTTTGGGGGAGCATTCGACTCCCACTCCAGTACTCGGCGCTTTCGAGAAGGTTGCCGTGCAAGCGGTCTGCAATTGATTCAACGTCATGCCCAGGCTTCTACGACGTGACATGACACAAACACTTCCCCAGAGGCTGCCCTGAAGATAGCCTTAAACCCAAAGGCCCCAAAGTCTTGCTTTCAAGCAACACGCGGAACCGCTGTGGCTCCAAGGGCTTCCCATTTGTGGCGCACGCTTCTAACTTTGGTTCAGTGGATTTGGGTTTCGGGCTCAGGGTTGTTTGCCCCGAAAGCCCATTAAATCGGAGCCTGCGCCGGTGGAAAGGCATGGGTCACACCCTCAAAGGTTCTGCTACTGGTGGCAACTGACGGAAGCTGCAATCCCGTTTCGCGCGTAAATTAGCCGTTTTGCCCAGAGCTTCGCTGGCGTGGCTGGGGTGTGGCCGCCCCACCCCCTTCGTGCCAGACCGCAGCAGTGGACATCTGTGAAATAACCGATAAAGGAAAAAACTGCACTCACCCCAAAAAATCAGGTGTGTGTGCACAACTGTGCACTCGCACTTTCTGGAGAACAGGGTGCCAGATCGGCATAAACAACAGGAAAATCAAAAGGGCTCGGCGCAAGGTTCCCAAAACCTTTTCTGGTCACGTCCCCACCCAAACAGCTGCAGCCTTGCCTTGGAGCCAAAGGAAGATTTCAAGTTGGCACAAGCATGTCCCTCCTTGTACGACAGCTACCATAGAGAACGCTCTCCCTGGCATCAGCCAAGATAGATCGAGCATGTAAGGACTGCTCCAAGGCTAGGTCACAAGCAGCTGTCCCCATGCAATCCGAACCTTAAGCCCTAAACCCACCTTAACCCTGGCCCTGAACCCTAATCCCCAAGCAATGGCGCCCCTGACTACATTCTGGGCGCTTCTTGGGCACCCTAAACCATGAAAGTTCAATAGATCGTCAGGGAATCCCAGGAAAAAAAAGCCCATGATGTGGATCAAGCCCTGGTTTAGGGTTCAGGAAGATGTGGGCCGAAGTTCTGTCTGCAGGATACCGAACAATCGAAAGTAACCCGGAAGATGGCAAGCCAGGGTTGTGTATGAACGCGCGACTGACACAACTCCAGCAAGACACTGAAGAGGCGAATCCAGACCCCAAAGCCGTAGCAATCCCTGATTCTCTCCAACCTCCATAGATGCAGTCGGGTTTCGGGTTCAGGGTTTAGGGTTTAGGGTTTAGGGTTTAGGGTTTAGGGTTAAGGGGCGTCCTTTTCACCAGGAGGATGCTAAGAAGCCCTTGCGAGTCACCAAACATCGGCCAGACTTTGGTACGGCCAACCGCTCAAACTTTTACTAGGTAGGCCCTTGGGACATTTGATACTTTCCCTTATTGGGTTAGTTTAGGGTTTAAGGTTTAGGGTTTAGGGTTTAGGGTTTAGGGTTTAGGGTTTAGGGTTTAGGGGGTTTCAGGGGCCATCCTAGTCTAGATTCTCTTCATGGAAGTTGGCAGCTCGGGAGGCTCCCTACATCCCCTCCATAACCCTCCCCAAACCCCAAACCCCAAACCCCAAACCCTAAACCCTAATAACCCTAAACCCTAAACCCTAAACCCTAAACCCTAAACCCTAAACCCTAAACCCTAAACCCTAAACCCTAAACCCTAAACCCTAAACCCTAAACCCTAAACCCTAAACCCTAATCTATCCTAAACCCTAAACCCTGAATTCCCTCATCCCTTAGCCACTCTAGGAACCCACTGGTCTCCATGCCCATGAGCGGGGATAACTCCAAACCTCATCGCCCCACATTTGAACCCTGAACCCTGAACCCTGAACCCTGAATCCTAAACCCTAAACTCCTAAACCCTAAACCCTAAACCCTAAACCCTAAACCCTACTCAAATCCCACCAGCAAAGTCAGCCCTGGGCCAAGCGTGCCGTCGCGGCCTCCGACTTCACCACGTGAGCCATAGCCGTCGTTCTGACGATGTTGAGGGCTTAGGCTTTGCTGTTTAGGGTTTAGGGTTTAGGGTTTAGGGTTTAGGGTTTAGGGTTTAGGGTTTAGGGTTTAGGGTTTAGGGTTTAGGGTTAGCACAAGCAGGGCCCAAAGTGATCCGACTTAGAGCCAGTTTTCTTAAACACTCAAGCCGACAGGCTAAACTCAAGGCTCTCAAGGCTTTTAAGTCTTGAGCAGCTTGGAGTTCACCTTTAGGGCTTTAGGGTTTAGGGCTTTAGGGTTTAGGGCTTTAGGGTTTAGGGTTTAGGGTTTAGGGTTTAGGGTTTAGGGTTTAGGGCCTAGTTCGGGCCAAGGGGTGAGGGTTTAGGGTCTAGTTAGGGCCCAGGGGTGTTCTGGAGCACCGTATTCCCGCAGCACATACTTCTGGGCTGCAGTCTCTAACGAAGACAGACGCCGATCAACATTCACCGGCGGGAATAATCGGAAAGGGTTTAGGGTTTAGGGTTGAGGGTTTGGGGTTTAGGGTGTAGGGTTTAGGGGATGAATCCAGACACAACCAGGTATGAAGCCATGTTGCTGTGCCTTCGAGTGGGCAACTTGTTTTACGGCTAGTATGACGGACTGTTACCGTTTGTTGAATCGGGGTTGAGGGTTTAGGGCCTTAGGGTTTAGGTTCAGGAGCTAGGGTGGTTTCATGATTTCACCTTGCACCCTGTTTAGCCGGAACCTCTTTATACTGCTCTTCATGATCCGAGGACTGTTTGGGATGGGCAAGGGGGGGGGGGGGTTGAGGCGTGTGCCGAAACCAAGAATTTCCTTAGAACAAACAGTATGACCAATTCTCCCGATCAATCCGGGCGGTCTAGGAGCCTGCCGGACCTCCTACACGGGGCACTGTTTAAACCCCAGCCCTACAACCCTAAACCCTGAACTCTTATATGTCCCGCTTGCGCTTAAAGGCCAAAGCTTTGGAACCATAGAGCAAGCAATGGCCTGACCTCTTGTCTTAAAGGCCCGTCGATAAGCTCATCTCTTTCAAAAACCAAAAACAATCCGGGGGTCCATTTACACAAAACAAACATGAGTCCCTAAACCCTAAACCCTGAGGCAAGCCTGAGCATGCGGATGATGAGGTCCGCAAAGTTGAGCCATCGGCCGAGGGAGATTTCCTGGACGGAGCTTGAATTTAGGGTATAGAGTCCCTAAACCCTAAACCCTCAACCCTAAACCCGAAACCTGAAATCCGAAACCCTAACCCTGTTTAGGGCTGTTAGGGGTTCAGGGTGTGGGTCCTTGATCGGCCCCCAATTCTTTGGGACGAAAATCCGGGAACCCCTACAAGAGACCCCAAGTAGTAGGATTGTCGTCGTCGTCATCGTCGTCATCGTCGTCATCGTCGTCATCGTCGTCATCGTCGTCGTCGTGGCAATCGTAGCGTTGAAGGGTGCGCAATGCTCGTGTGTCGGGTTTTGAAAAGACCAAAGCAATCTCTCTGGATGGCCTGACACTCTTAAACATGCAAGCTTGCAAAGGGCACTGACACGCACGCAGCCCTGATGATTCGCGAATGCAATGCTTGCATGATGGGATTGGAAAGGAACCATGTTTTTGTGAGAGAAGACGATATTCTTCAAAGCAAGATTTGCAAGGTTTAAAGCAGCAGGGGGTCAGGGGGGTGCAAGCCCTACATTCGCAAACACAATGCTGCCTGACGTGTTTGGAGTGGATTCAGAAGGTTTCGAAGGAATGTTTACGGATGTCGAGTATTAGTAGTGAGTGGCAGTAATAGTAGTAGTAGTAGTAGTAGTAGTAGTAGTAGTAGTAGTAGTAGTAGTAGTAGTAGTAGTAGTAGTAGTAGTAGTAGTAGTAGTAGAGTAGTAGTAGTAGTAGTAGTAGTAGTAGTAGTAGTAGTAGTAGTAGTAGTAGTAGTAGTAGTAGTAGTAGTAGTAGTAGTAGTAGTAGTAGTAGAAATTAATCGTCGTCGTCGTCGTCGTAGTTTTTCTTACAAAAGTGTTAAAAATAATCGTTGTAGACGCAAGTAGTAGTTAACGTACTAGTAGCACTAAGAGCACAAAGGTCACCGTCTGAGCCGGAAAGCAAAGCCAAGAGGCCTTGCGCGTCTGCTTTGAAGGCCGGTCTATTCTTTTTCCTAACGTACTTGATTCACCCTGATGAAGCTTTTCGTCCGTCAATTACTTTTTTGACCGCCCTCCTCGTGTTGACCCCAAACCCCAAACCCCAAAGCGCGCTAAAGAAAAGAAGCAGAAGAAGAATAATAATAAGAAGAAGAGCTCCTTCGCCCGCTTGGCTTCGAAGTTGTAAATCTTTCCCAGGTGCTCTTGCCTGGCAGTTTGAAGTCGCTGCGCCCTAAATCCTAAACCTGGACGCTAAGCCCTCAACCCTGCTCTGCCTGATTCACTGATGCCTGAGACACTCTTTGTGCCTATGGGGTCTAACTAGTCAGTGAGCCTCAAGGGGAAGAAGCCTTCAATCGTAGCCCTCTAGTGTTGCCTCTGAGTTGCCCATGCCGCTGCTGCAGGTATTGTGGGCGCTGCGTGTCGCTGCAGCCGTTGTTGTGTTGCGGCTGGAGTGAAGCTACGAGGGTCTTGTGTTGGCGTAACGCGAGGGCCAGATTTAAGGGTGTGTTAGGGACAGATGTGTGCTCTAGTCTGTCATATTGTACTGCTACACAACCTTAGCCTCCAGGCCGAAGACAAAACCCAAATACATGCAACCTTGCACACAACGGTGCTTTCAGTCCTGCTCACTTTGATGTGCTCTTATCGGTGAGAATGTCACGGTACCATTCATGACGCGGCTCGCTGTAGCGCGCCATTCCGTTGTGTTGGAGATGTGGAGGCGAGAATTTTCTAGGCTCCGTGCTATGCTGAAGCTTTGGGGTTTAGGGCTTCAGGCCTCGGACCTGGAGACAGCTTCGAGCCTGGTACACGAAACCCCAAACCCCGAAACCTCTGCACCATTGAACCAGAGCACCCTGGCATCTTTGGGGGGTGTGAGGGGATTTGGCATGAGGGTTGGCTCAGGGTTGGGGTTATAGGTTATAGGGTTTCGGCACTCGAGGTGTAACACGAAACCCGCAATCGCCCTAAACCTGCATGCGCTCCATCCTCTATCCAACCTCGTACCCGCAGCCCGCAAAAGTTGGAGGATCCCTCGAACTCCGTGCCGGCGGCGCAGCACAATGCGAGCATTGCGTGAAAGAGGACCTGATAGGACTTGTTCTGGGTTTGGATTTTAGGGTTTGGGGTGTTGAGAGACGGCTCTCTACCCTCGATCCCCAAGGCTAGAGTTGTCAACTTCGCAAAAACATCGCCGAAGAATCGCACCGACGTCGCTTGGATTTCCTGTAAAACTATTTTCGCGTTTACTGGAGGACATCTTGGCTTTGTTGGCGCAGTTTTCCATATGCTTGTCTTTTCAATCAATTTTCGGGCCCGGCCGATGTCTTTGTTCTTGACTTTGTTGTTGTGTTTGTCGACACTTTCCGAGTATATGTAGATCTTACAGATTTGTTGTTCGGCTTCTCGATTCGATTGTTTTAAGTTTGATTTCGGGGTGGCTCTTAGAAGCGAAATGCTGCAAAGAGAAAAACTGGGCACCCGAGAAACGCTCGGGCTTGAAGAACTGATTTTGGCAGATGCGTTCGATGTTCGCTTCGTCAACAGGTTTTTGGCCGATGTTTTTGGATTTTCCCGAGTTCAGGACGATATTGAATTCAACTAGTTGCAAGGTACTTGTGACATTTTTCACTGATTTGTTTAAGATTTTTTTGGGTTTCGACAACATCCATGCCTTAGTAGGCTATCGATGATCATCAGGCTAGAGAAAGACTCGCTATCTCGAGGCTTATTCAGCTTCTTTCAGGGTCAGGCTACTCTTACGAGACGGTCCTTTGCCAGTTCCGTGCGCGCAAGAAAGCTAGCTTATGATGATTTAGGGTTTCGTAGCTTCAATCTTTAGGGGTTTCGAGTAACCCAAAGCACGCGCAAGTCACAACAGGGCGCCCGACAGTGTGTGACATCCAGGAACCGCTGGGCAATCGCGGCCTGAAGTCGGAGAGCCCTAGACCAGCCTAGACCCTAAACCCTGAACCCTAAACCGTCCTAAGCCGGGGGGGGAAGTTCTGAGATCTGTTGGGTGTGCCACAGTCCAACACTTATGCATGTTAATCCGACGCTCAAGGCTCTAGCGGATACTACTCTCTAGTAACAGACTCCTATCCGGCTTGCTGACTGTACCTTAGGGAGGTCAGCAGCGCTGGGGTCCCAAACCTTACTGGGACATACCCGGTGTGCTCTGGGGTGACCGGGGAAGGTCTCCTGGCGTACTCTGAGACAGCAAAGAAAACGGACGCTCCTGCCCAGTAGCTGATCCAGGCAGAAAAGGTGGCTAGTTCAACGGCGCTGTCGCACAACCATGATTTCGATGAGCTCGATGTATCGTTCCCTTCACTGATTGCAACGATTGTCGGCCTTCCAGCAGGCAACGACAAAAGTACCGCCTGTGCGCGATGGTCGAAGCGGCTGGTTCGCCCATGAGGACGCAATAGATGACTGGTGCGACGTCACAGAATTAGAGCCAGAGAAGCAGGGCCCAGCTCTCAGGAATCGATTGGAAGGAGAAGCAGCCGTCCACGGCCGCTGTTGTACAGCTAGAGCGAGCCCCATCAGCTAGAATACTTCCTTAAAGGAAGGGATGCCTCTGAACCAGCTGGAGTTTGTTTCATCCATTTCTGAAGCAGCAAAGGAGTCCCAGCTTCCGACCCGAAATATCTGCTGTTTCGTTGGAAAGTTTCTTGCGCGAGTCATTGGGTTAGAGTTCCGCCGTTGACATGTAGTCGTGGTTTTTGAACTCTTTCTGAGTTCACAACCTGAGCAGGTATAGAAGGGCCAAGCAGACTCACGGCCATGCATCGTTCTCGGAATATTACATTTGTGCCTGGTTGAAGATCTGGGTTCTGCTGAGTGTGCCACAGTCCAACACTCAAGGTTCTAGCGGATATTAATTCTCTAATGCGCCTGGAGCGCAAACAAAGACTCCTGTCCGCTTTGCTGACTGTAACTTGGGGAGGTCAGTAACGCTCAGGTTACGTCTCAGGGAGGGAGTCGCAGGGTGTCATCCTTTGGGCAGCTTCTGCTTCCTGCGGCCCAAGGATGGGTGCTCTGTGAGCGAGTGCTCTCATTGAGAGTGTGCTCTGAGAGTCTGAGAGAGTTCAGCGTTAAATCGCCTGTAAGCTGCACCCCACCTTCACTTTTTTGACTCACATATTGACGTGTTGACGGACAACCTGGCTTCTGACAACTGGCAACAATGAAACTCACTCAACTCCACCCTACAACCTGGTTTTTAACAACGGGCAACACGACACCCTCAACTCCAGG